ATGTACCTTTAAGTTGTTGTTCGCTGAACTAAGTTTTAGTTCTCACAGAAAGCTGTTGCGTGATTCAGAAGTCTTGCAATATATATGTGACTTTTATGATACTTTTATGCTGTTTTTGCATACATTTAGAAGTATCATAAATATAGAGTAATTTCTCTTTTGTGTTCTACAGATGAAAGAAAGCCATAGGGGTTTGGAATGGCATAAAGGTGAGTAAATTATTCACTTTAAGTGCCCAGATACATTTTGGGTTAACTATATGTTGCTTTTACAAAAGACAAAACCATTAACTAATCACCTAATAAGCTTGAATATCTTATCTTTTGTCCCTGAGTGAAAAGCACCACATTATGTACTTCATTGTAAAGTAAAAGTGCTGAGAAGCACTTGCAGAAAGCAGAGAGAGAGAGAGAGAGAGGGAGGCCGTTAAAGGTGGGCTCGTTACGATGATCAAACGCTGCCTCCCTCCAGCGGAACACTGTACTTAATAAAGTGCCCTGCAGGGGGGTGTAAATGTAGGACCCATACGGAGACGAGAAACCTCGTTACGATTTCCTGCCTAAATGGAAATCTCCACAGGCAAGAGAAACCTCTCAGTTCATCCAGTCAGAAAAAAAACGGAGGGCTACTCCGCAAACGGCCAGAAAGGTCAAATTATCTATGCTGTTTAGGTCTAAATTGCTCTGGTTAAGTGTCTGTATTTCATTCAGGGCCAGTTGAAGCAGGTATTATTTGGAAATATTCCATGACTGTGTTCTGAATAAATACTGCACATTATATGCACTGCATACTGCCTGGTATTTTTGAAATAATTATAATAGAGTAACAGTGAAACTGAATGCATTACTTAGCCATTAGTATGCAAAGTTGTCATGAACTCTGTATGTTTAATGTAGCGTCCGGTTATTTTTTTTCGGAAATATAGGGGATATTTCGTCATTTTGAAACAATTATTTATTTATTTATTTATTTGGGGCAGTCTGATAAATTAAATAAATAATATTAGATAGATAGATGGATGGATGGATGGATGGATGGATGGATGGATGGATGGATGGATAGATAGATAGATAGATGGATGGATGGATGGATGGATGGATGGATGGATGGATGGATGGATGGATGGATGGATGGATGGATGGATGGATGGATGGATGGATGGATGGATGGATGGATGGATTAGATAGATAGATAGATAGATAGATAAAGAAAAATCTGACATTTTTAATATGACAGAATATTCTGTTTTAAACTAAACTTTCTATTAATAAAAGAATCCTGAAAAAATAAATACATCATAGTTTCCACAAAAATATTACAAAAATCTATTACGAAAAACTGTTTTGGTATTCATAATAATAAGAGCCATTATTATTTAACTGCACCACAAAAAAATGTTTATTATTTGTGTGTGTATATATAATATAGAGAGAGAGAGAGTTAAGATATTAGATTTATAATATCGTGCATTACATTAGAAATAGGAAGGTTAAGCATCTCACAGTTTGCCGTGCATTTTGACAAATATAATCAGTCATTAGATTTTCATGCATACAGAAAATATGCATGTATACTTGCTTGAGTAGTACGAATTATGCCATTTAGAACAAAGAAGCCTCAATTTCATTACTCTTTTTTTTTTCCTTTAGGTTTCATCAAAATATAATGACCATTCTCTGCAACAGGTTTCTTTTTCTGACAGATACTGAAAGAGACTTGAACTATCTAAAAACCCAGAAGAGCACCATCGACCAGTTTCAATGCTGTCAGGTAAGATGTCAGATAGCAGGGTTGGATTTAATAGTTCAGTTGAGATCAGTACAGTCATTTAAACACATTATAATTATGCGTATGTGCAAAATGAGTGAGTTGATCAGGTTAGATGTATGTGGTTACCTCTGTTGGCACAAGTTTGCAATATCCCGCCCCAAACATCAGATTCTCCACTGACATCACAGAGGGCGGAGCTTCACTCTCTGGAGAGCCTTTACCCAGCCACGCCCCCTTTCCACTGCCCACAAAACTACAGAAAGACAAACGACAGACTGTAAGAACCTGTGGAGTGATCAATGTGTGCTGCTGTGATCAAGTGAATTAACGTCAGGGATCTCGGTGGGAACCGCTCAGAAGATTATTTATTATCCAGTCATGCAAATTCATTTATACGCATATCTGTCTGAAAACAATGCCTGCCGGTCCTCACGGAAAACCCAAAGACACACAAATGCCTGATTAATTTGTTAAAGTCAGTCTTAAGAATATTTGTCACTAATGAGGCTTCTGTTCTTAGAAATCCATTACTCATGACAGCTGACAAACACACACACTTTGGATTTGACAGCTTTGCTTTCAGGAGGGTTCAGAGAAAGATCTAGCACTTTAAAAGCTCAGTTTAAAAGAACAGATCCACGGCAGTGAAAATACATCACATCCTGCCAATAACACCTCCTACGAACAGGAGGCACAGATCCAACAAGCAATACACAGTATTCAACATTTAACTAGAAAAGCTGGCCATTTTATGCGATTATGTTAACAAGCACATTATTTATTTGTAATTTAATTAAAAAAATTACAATCAAATTGGAAAAATTAATTAATTAAAACTAAATAATACTTGCCTTACAAAATTAATGAAATGATAACAATTTTATTAAAATACTATACTTTAAGTAATTATTTATTTATTGGGTTACATAAAGTGTAAATGCAACCTGAAAACTGATTATTATTTATTATTTTGTATTAATTAATATTAAATTAAAACAAAATATGATTTATTAACTATTAATAATAATAACTACTATTATTTTTTATGTAATTTCATTTTGATAATTTCATCATTAGTTGTGTAAGGCAAGTATTATTTAGTTTATTTATTTTTCAATTAAATGAATTAAATTACAAATCAACAAAACAAAAACAACAACAATAATACATTTCAAAATATAAATTAAAATAAAATAAATGCAAAATCAATTTTGAAGCCATGGTAAAATGCCCTAAACTGCTGATTGGCTGAGAGCTGGTGGGGCGAAGTTTGTGTGATCACCTGATCAGTGGTTGGTGCAGTGCCACCAGGGAGGCGTGGATAGAGACGGAGATAACGGACAGGTGGAAATAGTCAAACATGACAGGCAGGTGATGGTGTAGGCCTTGGTGTGGATGGAAGTGCAAACCCAACGTCCTGCTGCTAATCAGAGGCACTGAAGAGATATCCGCCAACCTAACACACAAACACATGACAAATCACACGTTATAGAAAGACACATTCACACTAGACCTTGCATTTAATTTTATTCATATGCATGTGAACAATGAAGACTGTCTCAAGTCTGCAAAAGTAACAACTATACTGAGATGTGGCAGCCAAAGAAAAAGACCACAGGAGAAGGAGAGAGAACATGAGGAGGGCAGAGAGATGGACAGGTAGTGTAGTTAATGAGCTTGCCTCACTGCCGCCCCTGCAGAGCTCAGGGGCCACGGGGGCCGACCCGTTGCTGCTGCTCTGAGCTCCGGGGCTCTGTTGCAGGTAAGAGGCGCAGGTAATGCTCTCATTTGTGCTGCTTTGAAACAGGAATGTGTGTGTGTGTGTGTGTGAGAGAGTATTTTAAGCTGAGAGCCTTTCCTCTTACTGTTCTTGATTAATACACACACACTGTGCCTGCCTGAGGCTCTACCACACTCTCTCACTGCATCCTTAAAGGTCCCATGGCATGAAAATTTCACTTTATGAGGTTTTTTAACATTAATATGAGTTCCCCTAGCCTGCCTATGGTCCCCCAGTGGCTAGAAATGGCGATAGGTGTAAACCGAGCCCTGGGTATCCTGCTTTGCCTTTGAGAAAATGAAAGCTCAGATGGCCCAATCTGGAATCTTCCCTTTATGTCGTCATACGGGGAAAGGTTACCTCCCCTTTCTCTGCTTTGCCCACCCAGAGAATTTGGCCCGCCCATGAGAAAATGAGCTACTACCGTGCGAGGCGAGCGCAATATTTTTTTTTCCTCGAGAGACATCATGGCTTGCAAACGAGCGAAGCATGGCAGTTGCCCCGCCTCTCTCCTCCTCATTAGCATTTAAAGCTACAGACACAGAAATGGCACGTCCTAAGGAAAGCTCATTGTGGGACTGGCTCGTAGTGGCTGAAATTCTGCACCAAGGCTGAATTTCGGGAAAGAGACTTCAGATACAGTACTAGGGACCACTTAGGCCTATATAAAAGCATCCAAAAACCAGCATGTCATGGGACCTTTAAATACCGACAGGCAGAGAGATCATACAGATGATTTTTTTTTTTATAGAATGTGAGAAAATATGCAAATATTTTAAAATGTGTGCTACATTGTTGTCACACAGCTTCATTATGTTGCATGTTTAATTCAGCGAGTTGTTGTGAACTACGTGACCTACTGAATGGAGAAAGTACTGAATGGAGTCTGCTGTGTGGAATACAAAACTCAATGTATCTGTTTTGGTCTTCTATTTTCCCTGTGATGGATGAACTAGAAGCAATATCATTGATTTTTAACTGTGTTGACATTGTTGCATCGGACTGCCAAATGTAAAGATATTATTCAGTATTGGATGGAGTTCATAATGTTTGATATACTATTGTCAAACAGAAAACATGTTATTACTATTAATAAAATGTGGGCAATAAATAGCATATACTACAGGATGGAGATGGCTAGTATTTCATTTTGGGAATACTGTACGCAGCTGTTTAAAAGTTTGGTGTCAGTAAGATTTTTTTTTTTTAAGAAATTTATAATTTTATTCAGCTAGGATGTAATATATTAATCAAATGTGGCAAAAATTACAAATAAAAATGGTTTCCACAAAAATAATAAAGGTACAGTAAGTGATTTCTTAGAAACACTGTTGAAAGTGGCACAAAGCACCAAAAAAAAACACTTATAGCCAATCACCAGTAAGGGGTGTGTCTGCTTGTGATGGGGGGAGGTGCCTGTATTGCACAGCATGTTCATGAATTGGGGGTGGAGCTATCAAGATAGGGGTGTGAACCTTTTGGGTAGGGGCGTGTTTGTTTTGGTGATTTCAAATATCAACAGTGTTTCTCTTACTGCACCTTTAAGTGTAACTGTTCTCAGCATTACACTTAAAGGTGCAGTAAAAATTATAAGAAATGTTTTTGAGCAGCAAATCTCAACTTTTATTCCTTTTTACACTAAGTATGATTTGCAGGTCCACCGCTTCGATTAATAAAGCCTAATTTTCAGCACAATTACTTGAGGAATATCATGTTATGAATTCAAAACGATTTTAACATGCTGCGAAATTTGAAAACTGATACTTTTGAACGTTAGCGTCACATCCAGTTTCATATGTATGGGTTTTTATAATCAGTAGGTTTGTTCGATAGCTCACGCAGTTTGGAGTTTGACTTCAGAGGTGAAGAGCTTGAGACGTTAGCGTCACATCCAGTTTCATATGTATGGGTTTTTATAATCAGTAGGTTTGTTCGGTAGCTCACGCAGTTTGGAGTTTGACTTCAGAGGTGAAGAGCTTGAGCTGTTTTTCACAAAACAGTTCAAACCTGAATATAAATAAGTTCAAATGGCACGGTTGCATCAACAAATTCGTTTTGCATTTGTTAACACTATCGGGTAGGTTTAGGGTTGGGTTTGGTGTAGGGGATATTTCCAATACGGTAGAGCATTAACTTTTAGCGACACTCGAATATTTGAATTATGAACCACTGTAATACGTACCTCAAGCAACATAATTAAAACACAGCAATACGTGCCTATATCAATGTAACAAAAACGTGCCAGGGTCACGTATTGAACTTTTGAACTTTTGGTCACTTTGAAACTGCCTTGAAACGTGCAGCAAGGTACGTAATAATGGTGTTGCTGAAATGTATGTGTTTCCAATGAGCCTGGGTTGAAAAATTCAGCATTGCATCACAGGAATTAATTACATTTTATGATATATTCAAATAGAAAAGTTATTTTAAATTGTAATAATATTACTGTTTTTACTGTATTTTTGATCAAATAAATGCGACTTTGGTGAGCAAAAGAGCCTTGTTTCTTACCGACCCCAAACTTTTGAATTCAGTGTAATGTGGTCTGCAGCGTTAAAAAGCGTTAAAAAAATATTGCTTCTTTATTTGTCACTCTGTACATGGAAGATCAAGTTGTGAGATACAGTACTCAGTGTTTAATATACAAGCAGAACTTAGGTAAAGAAGTAGAAGTAATTTCCTTCATCCTGAAAATTGACATGCTATGCAGAGTATTCTGACCATATACTGCAAAAATAGCATGATAGTATAAGCCATTCTGAACACAAGCAGTGATGATGCAGAGGGAGAAAATGATGGGATACTCACTGCTGTTCATTGTCAGTGAAGTGCAGATCTAGTTTGAGCTGGACGTCCACCTCACTCACAGCTTCCTCCACCTGAGAGACACATCAACACACGTCATTCACAGCTAACTGCAGAACCTTGATATATTTATACTACGGGGCCGTTGAATGCTTGAATCTGATTGGCTGACGAACGTTCTGAGGTGTGCAATTATTTTCAGAGAAACGCAGGGCGAACGTAGTTCCAGGCAGCTCTCTTGACCGCATTACAGTTCCATATCACTTCGCATAGTTAACTGTAATACCGGAAATTAGCATACAGTACCTATACAGCACACAGGAATTACTGCAATCACACGTGCTCGCACACGCACAGTACGGTCACGCAGTTTGCAAAAAAAGGTGTTGTCAGCGCTGCCCTGACGATTTGATCAGTTAGCCTCTATAGCAGGGTTCCTCAAATCTTGCCCTGGAGGTCCAATGCGCTGCAGAGTTTAGCTCCAACCCTGATCAAACTCAGCTACCTGTGATTTTCTAATGATCCTGAAGACATTGATTAGCATGCTCAGGTGTGTTTGATTAGGGTTAGAGCTAAACTCTGCAGGAAAGTGGCTCTCGTGGGCCAGATTTGAGGATCCCTGCTCTATAGTGTAGCAACTTAAAGGCTACACATGACATTTCTCACTAGCGAGGTAATAACAGCGCTGTTTAGAGACGCTGCTGCAGAACACTGTTGAGGGACACACAGAGGTAGCCTAATTCACACAAGCTCTCTCTCTCTCTTTCTTTCTCTTTCTCTGTGTGTCTCTGTCTCTCTTGCTCTCTTTCTAATAACTTCATTAATAACTGCATTAGAATGCTATCAACGGCTCAAGCCTCCATTACCAGCTTTAAAATGACGTTTTGGAACTAGCAAAAGAGGCGT